GGGGTGGGAGGAAGATCAGAAGTAGAGACAAAGTGGACGTGAGAGCAAATTAGGTCAAAAGAAGATGGAGAGAGAGGAAAGACGTGATGTTGGCTGTATCCTCCCTCCTCTTCTCCCCTCTTTCTGTTGACATATTCCTCGACAGGATGGACATGAAGATGAAGACGGGAGGCAAGCATCCCAAGGGCTACAACGGACTGAAATTCCTTGATAGAGGGACGTCCAAGTGAGTTCTCGAGACTAGCAAAAGCTGCTCCTCTTGCTCCTCTTGCTCCTCTTGCTCCTCTTGCTCCTCCTGGTCCTCCTGCTCCTTCTCCCCCATCTCCCTCTCTCCCTGCCTGCCTGCCTGCCTGCCTGCCTGTCTCCTCGCGTCGCAAGGCTCTCCCGTCTGACGGCTGCATCCAGGTTCAAGTCGCAGAAGAAGCTCCTGCAGAAGAAGAAGGAGACGGAGATCGAGAAGAAAAAGAGAGCCCTCAAGAAAATGCTCGAGCAAGTCCCGGAGCCCCTTGGTGGGGAACTTGTAGAGAAAGACTGCTCCAACCTGTCCTCCTCCTCCTCCTCCTACCTCCTACCTCTACCTCTACCTCTACCTCTACCTCTTCCTCTTCCTCTACACCTCTACACCTCTACACCTCTACACCTCTGCTCCTTTATGCATTTATTGTAGAATGAGACAGTGCTTTGTCAGACACTGATTGCTGTGCCAGTGAATGTCGAAGACGCTGAAAAGGAGCAAAACAAACTTGAAATGGATCGGGACGATTCAGATGAGATGTCAGACGAAGAGGTTGATTCCGGTGAGCCGATAAGTGTGCATGTCTAGTTGAACCCTTCTTGTACTTGGTTATGGAACGAGGATGAGCAGTAGTAAGCAGCAGTAGCAGCAGCAGCAGCAGCAGCAGCAGCAGCAGCAGCAGCAGTGAGGGAGGAGCAGGAGGAGGAGGAGAATGATGGTTTGTTGTACAGGGGCTATCATGTTTCGTGACCCGGTTAGAAGATTCATGAATAATTCTCACCAATTGCCGTTCCCCCTCTCCCTTTCTCCTTCACCCTCCTCCTCCCCTCTCCTCCTCCCTCGTCCTCGTCCTCCCCACTCGCCCTTCCCCCTTCCTCCTCCTCCTTGCTCTTCCTCCTCCCTCTCCTGCATTCTCCTCTCTCTCCCTTCCTGCTAGCAATTTTCCCATCCTGCATGCCTCTGACCCCAATGCAGGCGGTGCAAAGAGAGTGGAGCCCCAGTGGCCAGGCGGCAACAGGCAAGGAGGAGGGAGAGGGGGATGGGAGGACGGGCAGGAGGACGAGGAGGAGGAGGAGGAGAGTTTGACACGTCACAGGTGGGGAGGACGGGGGGAAGCAGAAGAAACCGAAGGGAAAAGAGTTCCAGATCGGAAAGATGGAAGTCCCAGACTGGGACGAGGAGGAGGAGGAGGAGGAGGAGGAGGAGGAGGAGGAGGAGGAGGAGGAGAGTGAAGAGGAGGAGAAGAAAACAAAGCCAGTAAAATCCAAGAAGGGTAAGGAAGGGAATCAGCAGGGGAAGCAAGCGGGACAGGAGCACAAGGGCGGGGCGAGTAAGGGAGCGCTGGAAGTTATCGCGTCAAAGGCCGCAGCACAGAAGGAGAAGGAGAGGAAGGTAATGTGGAGGAAGACGAGGACGGGGACAAGGACGGGGAAAGCGAGGAGGGAGAAGAAGGGAGAAAGAGGAGGGGGAGGGAAGGAGGAAGCAGGAGGGAGGAGGAGAAGGGGGGGGAGAAGAGGCAGTGGACATCTGAAAGGTGTGACGAGCAGGAGAGGGAAGAAGAGAAGAAGAAGAGGGAAGAAGCCATTCAGGCCCGCAACAACTACTTCAAGAAGAGGTTCTATCCTCCCCCTGCTCCTGCTCCGTCTCCTCCTCCTGCTCCTCCTGCTCCTGCTCTTGCTCTTGCTCCTGCTCCTGCTCCTGCTCCTGCTCCTCCTTTTTCCCATCCTCGTCTCTCCTTCCTCGAGCCAAGTGTCATGATCTCTACAGGAAGCAAGACAAGAAGGAACACATGAAGAAGACGGCACGAGGACAGCCTGTGCTGAAAACCATGATCAACGGTGCCTCTTCCCTCCCCCCCTCGCTGCTCGCCTGCCACACCCTCCCCTCCTCTTCCCTTCCCTTCTCCCTTCCTTTCCCCTCTACCCCACCCCCCCCCCCCAACTCTTGCCCCTCCCTCCCCTCGAGCAACCAACCACCTCCTCCTCCTCCCCCCCCCCTTTTTCCACCTCCTCCCTTCTCTCCTTTGTTATCTCCGTCCCACCCTTCCCACCGTCCCCTTCGTTCGTACTCCCTTCCTCTCCCCTTCCTCTTCCCTTATCTTTCCTCTTTCTCCTCCCTCATGGTCTTTGCAGGAATCCTCGGCAAGCTACAGAAAGAATAGTCGACAAGTCAACGAAAGGGGCAAGCAGTAAATTCAACATCCTTTACTCTACATGCGTGATGCACCTTGAATTTTTCCTCCCAGCTCCCAGCTCCCAGCTCCCTGCTCCCGTTTTCTTCATCCTCTCCTGTCACATCCGAGGGTTCCGGGGGGACACCCACTCCTGACAAGAGGGAAGTTATTAGTCCACGTCTCCTCCTCCCCCTGCCCGACAACCCGATAGCTCCTTGGGGCTCCTCGCGACCTTCCCGCCGCTGGCCCTGCGTCAAGAGCATGAGGAGGCAGAGCAACACGACAAGAGGCGAGTGAGCAGGTCAGACCGGGGAAGCGACTCCCGTCCTCCATCCTCTGGAGCTCATCGTCAGTCGCGCCGCGCACAGGGTGACAACCCTCACCTCCTCCGCAGCTCCTTCATACGGGCGGTACGGGTAGGGGCGCATCGGCGGGCCGGCATCCTGCCATGCTGTCCCGCCACATGTCAGTGGCTCCTCCACTTCCTCGTTCCTCCTCCTCCCCATCCTCTTCCTCCTCCTCCTTCCTGTTCCTGTTCCTGTTCCTGTTCCTGTTCCTGTTCCTGTTCCTGTTCCTCCGCCTCCCTCTCACCCTCCTCCTGCACCTTGCTTCTGCTCCTTCCTCACCCCCCCCCCCTACTCCCCTCCTCCCTCTTTCCCCCTCTGCCCCCCATGCCGTCCCCTGCTGCCCCTCCCCCTCCCTCCATTAACACACCGGGAGCGTCGAAATTTGAGGAACGTCCGTATCGAGACGGCTCTGGCCACCTTTCCCTGCAAACGAGTCAGGGGAAGCGAGAAAGTAGAACAGTAACACATGTAGAGGAAAGTCAGAAGGAGGAGGTCGGGAGGAGGAGAGGAGGGTGGGTGAGAGAGGACAAGGGGAAGGGAAAGGGAGGGAGTCAACAGAAAAGAAGGATGAACAGGAGGGAAGAGGAGGGAAGGAAAGAGTCGTCGACGAAGGAAAGAGGAGGGAAGGAGGAGGGAAGGAGGAGGGAGGAGGAAGCAAATCACCATCGCTGCTCTCTCGGCCCGTCATACTGGAAACCTCTCTGCCTGTGCGAGTGGTAGGGAGGATAAGGTCGGGGCTCCTTCCGGATCGCCGGGTGCGGCCCGTTGGCGTACGGGGGGGGAGGCTCTTGGGGGGCATACATAGACCTCGGCCTTCCGTTCCAGTGTCCTTCTGTACCCCGACGAGCAAATCTCTCCGCCCTCCTCACCTTCATCACCAGACAGTCAGCTCGGGAGGAGGTGGGAGAGAGCAGGGAAGACCTCCCGATTCCGCATCATTCGCATCAGGTACGCCGAGGGATTGCCTCGCACCTGTAGCCGAAGTGTCAGCAGCGCCGCGGAACATGGAGCGATTGAATATGGAGGTTGACAGCACTGCTGGGAAGATGCAGCAAACGAGCATGTGGAATGTGATGCTCCCCACTGCCGAACGAGCAAGGATGAATCTAGAGCACTGCATCTAGAGCGCTGACTGAAGGACCATTGATTCCTGCGCTTCGATGGTTGCATGTAATCGTGAAATGTGTAGGATGTAGGCATGGGAAGTAGAGGGTGAAAGCTTGCAACGGTGAAGAAACAAGTCGCATACTTGTTCAGGCGCAATCCGCAGGAATTTCTCAATCACTCCGACGACAGTGTAGGGGTTTCCTTCTTTCAGTCGGCACAAGCACTCGTCATCAATGTCGCCCTGGCAGCATTCACTGTCCGTGAACCTTGACAGTCAGAACAATGGAGTGCTCACCTCTTTGAAGAGTCCGCAAGACAACAATTCTTCATGCATCGTTTCAGCAAACACCACAACACAACCATCAACACAAGGTCACCGGAGATCGCTCTTTCCCGCCTAGGATAAATCTGCATGCGCGAGCTTCGCACCCCCCCAGCAGGAGGAGGCAGGTTTCTGTCTTCGCCCTGGTACGCTGGTGCCTCGACCCTAGTGTTCAAGTTGATGTCTTTGTTCTGCATGGTAACGTCGCGGTCCAGGTAGTCTGGTTCTTCTCCCGGCGCCTCCGCCTGACCTCGTGGAGGAGGGTACCTCTCCGGTGCTTGAGGTATCTCATCAGGGAGACCCTGTGAGCCTCCTCGAAGGAACAGTCGCCCGTTCCATCCTCCACCTCCGAGGCCCAACAAAGGTTTACCGAGGGCTGGAGCTCGCCCAGCGGGCCCGGACCTTGATGCCGCTGATCTTGCCAGGGTAGACGAGGCTGCAGGCAGCAGCTTAGCGTCTGAGTGCCATGGCTGCGACAGAGATGAGACAGCTCGAGCCGTCGACGGGAGATTGGTTATCAGAGCACAGCACAGTACAAGCTGCAGTTGTACTATCCTTCTCATGCTCTCGTTCATCATCGTGAATCGGTTCTTCTCTCGTGCCGGCCCTCGTTCCTTCCTCGCCGGCGATCTAATTGACTGTTCTGCTGCTATGTATCCGGACCAATCTCCCCGATCTACCTCCACATGGAATCTTCAGCTGCGGAGATACTCAACCTCAGTCAAACAGCCTGCAGTATCCCCGATGCCCCATGTTGAGTTTCCGATTGTCCATAACAGACTCACGTCTTCCCCTTCGGATGCTCTCGTGCCCTCGTCTCTCGATCCGTGTCCTCCAACGCAAGATGCTCCCTCGCTCTACAAGGAACACCTGTACCTCCACCTGAGATGACGAGTTACGCTGAGCTCCACGAGCCTCTCACCAACGACAGAGGGATTTCACATGCAACTATCAAGTACAGTAAACGAGCAACAAGGAAAATGGATGCCATACTGAAAAGCAATCCTTGCCTCGAACCCCTATATTGCTACTCATCGATCGCCCTGCCTGACAGCCTTCCAAATTCTCTTTCAATTGCTCTGTGCATTCCTTTGGATGTCCCATTCCTCCCCACACACCACCTCCAACACCTCGTGTAAGTAACTATCCTCTGTCCCCCTTCAGTGGATCACTACCAACATCTAAACCCCTTTCTCTTCCCTGTCCACCTTCGCACTCTACTTGCCCTCTTCCTCGTTCCACTCTCCCCATTAACCCCGTTGCTGGAAATGATGCTGCTTCTCCTGCCCCTGCTCCTCATGTTCCAACTCCTGCTGCTCCTGCTCCTGCTCCTGCTCCTGCTCCTGCTCCCCCTCTTCCTCCGGCTCCAGCTCCGGCTCCTCCTGCTCCTGCTCCTGCTCCTGCTCCTGCTCCTGCTCCTGCTCCTGCTCCTGCTCCTGCTCCTGCTCCTGCTCCTGCTCCTGCTCCTGCTCCTCCTGGTCCTGGTCCTGGTCCTGGTCCTGGTCCTACTCCTACTCCTGATCGTGCTCCTCCTGCTCCTGATCCTACTCCTCCTGATCGTGCTCCTCCTGCTCCTCGTGCTCGTGATCCTGATCCCGCTCCTGATCCTCCTGCTCCTGCTCCCGCTCCCGCTCCTGCTCCTCCTGATCGTGCTCCTCCTGCTACCCCTCCTGCTCATCCTGATCCTACTGCTACTCCTGATCGTGCTCCTCCCGCTCCCGCTCCTGCTCGTGCTCCTGCTCCTGCTCGTGCTCCTGCTCCTGCTCGTGCTCCTGATCCTCCTGCTCCTGATCATGCTCTTCCCTCCCCCCCCCCCATCTTCCCCTCGCCATCTTCCATCCTGCTCTCATTTCCACAGCCTCTTCCTCTTCCTCTCAAATGCATCCCGTCGATCCCTCATACCTCCCGCACTTGTTTTCCACCCACCCCTGGTCATAGGTACCCACCCCTGGTCAATATCAGAAAGTTCAAATTGGAGTACCCCTCCCAGTCGACTTCATGCCCTGAAAGGGACACCCTACCTACTCAAAGAGACTATCTGTTAACTCATATTGACCCGTACTTGAGAAGGGAATTTCGTGACCTGACTACCCCTACCCTGTATCAAAAATGTCCCACCCTTGGAATTCAGCAAAACACCCTCAGCTTTGGGGTTCAAATTTTGGCTTCATGACTTGGGGTACTTGGCTGGATTAATTTCAAGTATTTGTTTATAAAATTGTTAAATTTACAAAATTTCGGTGAAATATTCAAACATTTTCATAGAATAGTTGTTTGGGAATAACCCCTCTCAAAATTTCTAATGAAGAGGTGGACCACCTCCCATCCTCATCAGGGAAATTTCCATGGGTGGGTACTCAATATGGTAGGTAGGGTAATTAAAGTACCCTACATTACAAGGCAAATATGCAGATAATATCAGGGGTATATTTGAGGAACCCTACAGGAGATTTACAAAGTCAGAGGGTGGGTGTAAACTTTTGAGGGTGGTGAACAGGGGGTGGTTTACGAGAAGAAATGCTGGCCGCAGTGGAAGTCGGAAGGATAGCGAGGGCTGGGGAGAGCGACAGCGAGGAATGCAGAAGGCGGGACCATGAAGTGAACGCGAGAAGACGAGGGAGGGAGTGGAGGGAGGGAGTGGAGCTCAAGGCGGAAGGGATCAAGGGAAGGGGGGATGCATGGAACGCCGTGCAGTCAGTCGATAGGGACAGTGGGGATTAGCGAGGAGAGGAGGGAGGGACAGAGAGGAGGGGAGGGAGATGAGCGTCGGAATCAGTATCTGTAGAGTTCGGTGCTGGTCGGTAGCAGGGAATCGTGATCCTCGTCCTCAGGCGAGTTGAAGGATAGGCAGAAACGAGTCGAACATGATTCGTGTGCTGTGAGTATTGAGGACTTGAGAAAGATTTATTCTGTCAGCATACAACATCACGAGTTAAAACAGTTCAACTTCGTTGTAATTGAGATGATACCAAAGTATGTGTCGGCATTCATGTAGACATGTAGCCCCAGATTTGAGATGACAAGGACGAGAGCTTGATTTGAGAAAGTCCTGCGAATCGTCTTCGAGGCAAGTCACTAACGATCATGATGCAGGAGCAGGAGCAGGTGGAGGAAAAGAGCACATCAAGTCAGGGGGTCCTGATCTTTGTGAGTTGTCTTGGTCCTTGTTGGCTGTGCTGATAGAATGATCAGGTGCGAGGTGGATGAATATGAAGAATTCCTCCTAGGGTCTGCGAAAGGATCAGGGCCTTTGATGCAATGTATGACTGCCGAACCACCGCAATCTCGTCTGCTGACCGTTGAAGCAGCTCTTTCTGGTTGGGCACGCAGTTAGCTTTGATATCAACCTCTCTGCGCTACAGAGTTGTGGGAATCGAATACACTCAGCTCGGATTTGATTTGAAACATGGCGTCTGCCGCCATCGCCGCGGCTGCTAAGAAGAGGGCGGAAAAGCTCGGGATCAGAAACGAGGAGGTGGATGAGACTAATGTTGGGAAAGGCCCGGTAGGACTCGACGATCGCCTCTTGCTGCCTTGCTCCCCGCTTCCTCCTGCTGACCTCCTCCTGCTGTCCTGTTCCTCTCCTCTTGCTGTCCTCACACTGTCCTGCTCCCTCGCTCCCTCCTCTCTCATGTTGGTCCGCTCGCAGGAGACTGAGCTAGCGCATCCCTTCTTCTCCAAGCTGAAGGAGACGCCCGGCAAGGGGGCACAGCTTTCGCCAAGGTCTAGGAGATTGGCGGAGCTGCAGGCCAAAGAACAGAAGGAAAACTCCCCTCCTCCCGAACAGAACAAAGCGGCTCCAGCTCCTCCTCCAGCTCCAGCTCCTCCTCCAGCTCCCGCAGCAGTTCCTCCACCACCACCACCCGCAGCAGCAGCTCCACCTGCTGCTAAGAGTGTAAGTCACCGAAAGCCTGGACCCTTCAAGCTGTGATTTACATCTCCAGGTGGATCTGACGGCTGCTTACTCGGATGCAGCGGTAGAGACACTGTATGACGTGGCGGCGAATGGTTCCCAGCAACAGCAGAACGTGAGGCAAACTTATCGCTGGAGCTGTTTCTCAATCTATGGCACAGGACGCGCTCGCAGTCATCAAGCGATGGACCAACAACCCTGACACTCGGTTCGAGATGGCCGGGAATCCTACGATTTTTTCATTGTTGGCGGATATTGCTGTGGGCCCGCATCAGAAGGTACTGCAAGTAACCTCTATTCTTCTGCCTGCCTTGATGGATCAATCTACAGGAAAGAGAGGCGGCTGTTTCTCAGGTCACGCTCCCGGCTGTGCTGCTGCCAGGCCCATGACATGTATGGCAGCTGCAAAGCATCTGCGAAGACGATTCGGTCCACAAACACCTCCTCTCTACTGGTGCCGCCTTTGGGCCACTGCAGGTCAGTGAAAACCTTGATTGAAGAGCCGTGATTGGTCAATCTAATTTCATCGTCTTTCCAGGCGATGATGTCATCTGACGATGTTTCTGCGCAAATCGCCGGATCTGCCCTGTTTGCGAGCATATGCGAGCGAGGTGCTTGTTGAACGTGTGCGTGACGTGCACTGATGGAGACTCGATGAGCAGATATGCCAGGTGAAGACTCGGTGAATTCAGAAAACCTACATCAAGTGTATTCCAGCATCCTGTCTGTGACTTCCACGCTCTGAGCTTGTCTCACTGTGGTGTTGCCCAGCACTCCTTCGTCAACCTCTGCCGCCCACCTGGACCCCAGCTTGGCCATCGAGGTAGACGTGACAACTGCACTTGAATCCCAACGCCCAACCTGCTGCAGGATCCTGCCGAGGTCATGGCGAAGGTGATAGCGGCCCAAGAGAATGCGGTGAGACATTCATGGCGAGAGGCTGGGAGACGGTCCGGCGGATGCTGACGTCATCCTTGAAGGATCCGAATGTTTCTGCCAACGTCGATCCAAGTCAAGTCAAGATGGACATTGACATGGAGGACGAGGTAGCCGGGAGAGCACGGGGACGGGGTCGCTGAGGGATGTCTTGCTCAGGCTCCTGCTAGTGGTCCCGCCATGCTTAACGGGATGAAAGCTTCCATGGGGAACGAGGAACGAGCTGGTGAGCTTCCATGTCCTCCTGCCCCGCCTGCTGCTGAGTTGGTCAACACAGCTCCCGCTCCTCCTCCTCCCGCTCCACCCGCTCCTCCCCCTGCTCCTGTCCTCCCACCCGCTCCTGCACCCCCGAAGCCGCCTGCAGCTCCTTCACCTCCTCCTGCCTCGTCTCCTACGGTTCCTCCCGCTGTACCGTCGCCTGCTGGCCCATCAGGAACGCCAGCGCCGCCTGCATGGGATCGACCGACGAAGTCAGACGGGGCTGAGAACAGGTCCCCCAACGTGGCGCGGGATCAATCAAGATACTCGTCGCCAAGTAGCACGAGCAAGGGACCAGCGGCGTCAAGGTAAGGGCGATGAGATCGGGGGGAAGAGGAGGAGATGTCGGTCACGAGTGCCGGCAGAGCGATTCTATGAGAGAGCAGGGAGGGAGGGATGGCAAGGGATGAGGAAACGAGGGGAAAGTGGTTGGTGGAGGAGCAGGAGGGGGATGGGACCTAGAATACTCCCTGACGGATTCGGCAGTCAAACTGCGCCGCCCAAACAAGAATCGAATGCCTGCTGCTCCTGCCTGGTCATGTAAGTCTAGACACGTTAATCGGCGATTAGAACTCCCCCGAACCAACTGCGCCTGCCCCCCGGCATGCAGGCAACACTGCGCGGCGCTCCCAGCATGAGCGCGGCGACTCGTTACGCACTCTCTTTCAAACTAATGAACCATGACTCAACTGGTCTGAAACGCTATTACACACGGGCAGGGGTGCGGGGCCCGGCAGAAATCATTTACTTAGTAATTCAATAGCATCGAATCATGCGGGGTTGCGGGCCAGGGGGCTCAGGGCCCCGGCGCCGGGTGTGTTCACCGGTTTGCGCTCTGCGGGAGAGCTGAACTCAACCTCACTGGCAGCTGAGCCTCCACGCCGACGGTCGACCTAGACTTGTAGCCGTGGCTCCGACAGTGGATCGCCCCCCGCCCGGCACAGTAAAGGCTGACCAACTTTCATCGCTACTGGCCCTAGACGGTTCTGTCCGCTGAATCACTTTGTCGGAGGCTACACAGCCTCGGACTCTTTAAGCCTGGCCCAGTGGCGCTTCCGACTCGGACTCTGAGTCACGGTCGGGGTTTAGTATTCAGAGCATCCAAGTCACGGTGCCACCGCCCCGGCCCTAGTTGCTAGCTCACTGCCGCGCCCCACTGAGACAGACGATGGGGCGCGGGCCGGCGGGCCGGGCGGCCGGGCCGCGCTGCCGCTGTGCACTGCGGCAGGCTGCCGTCCGGGCCCGGCGGCCGCGGCGCCCGGCCGGGATAGTCACTGAAGAAAAATAACTTTAGAGTCGTCGGAGAACAAAGGCGGGTCGAGCTGGACGATGGAGATGATAGAGGAGGGAGGAGGGAGGAGGGAGGAGGGAGGAGGGAGGAGGGAGGAGGGGCACAGAAGCATGATGAGGAGAGGAGGATGAGGATGAGGATGAGGATGAGGGCGAAGGTCAGATTGAGGGAGGAGGAAGCGGACGTGGATCGGAGGTCGTCGTGTTTGAAGTTAGCCCTCCCTCCCAACGTTTCACCATGACGAGCATGGTGAGCATACTTCCTTCACAAGTCTTCTGAGATCCTTGGTGCTCCATCACCAGCCTTCATGGCGCAAATGATACGCTTCCCTCTCTTCCTTCTCGTCCTCCTCCGTGACATTTCTGCAACCCCCCAGCAAGAGCATGTCTGGGAAATCCAACCCGATGCCTGGTATGAGAGGATGATGGTTCCTGTGGATGAGAGGGCAGAAGCGATTCAGCTCGCCATGCTGTCGGGCTCGTGCTCCCATCCCCCTGCGCCTGTAGACATCGATGTTCCCGTGCTCGTCCTCAACCTGAGGGAGCGGAAGGATCGTAGGCTACACACTCGCTGCCTTCTGCGATCCCTGGGGTTCTCGAACATCCGATTCCTCGATGCCATGGCTGCCGACGACGTCGAGCGGGAGAGGCCGGAGGAGGTGCGCCATTTCTTCGATAGCGACGGCAAGGTCGGGCACGTTAGAGGATGCGGCAAGTTTTCGCGCGGGTGCCTGGCATGCATCGTGAGCCACAGGAGGGCGTTGAGCATCGGCATGGCGAGCGGCTGGGAGAGGTTCCTGGTGGTGGAGGACGACCTGATGATCGGAATGTCGTTGACAAGAGCCAGGAAGTCAGTCCAAGACGCGATCAGAGACCTCCCTTCCTCTGCCGACCTTCTCTACCTGGAAGCTTGCTTCGAGAACTGCCGGAACCTGCTGTACAGCAACCTGAGCAGCATCGCAAGGGCACACCAGCCCCTCTGCACCGGAGCCATCCTGTACAGCAGGGCGGGAGCAGACAAGGTGCTGCGAGACAGCAACAGTGCGTTCGCTTCTATGGATACCATGCTGAAGCAGCTCATAGACGAGGAAGGGACCCTGGAGGGCTACATCGCGACTCCTCCTGTCCTCTACCAAGACTTCTACTTCGGCTCCGACCTCGGCTCCAACTACCAACGCGTCTTCAACCGCGCAATTGTCAACACCACCCACCGGCCAGACGCTGCCGTCTGCTCCGACCTCTTCGGGTACACTGAGATGTCGGTGGTTCAATGGCACCCCAGCAGTGAAGCCCTGGATGGCCTGTTGCTGAGGAGGAGCCTGTCCATGGAGGATCAAGCTTGTTCTTCAACCCTCAGTCCCTCCTCTCCTCCTCCTCCTCCTCCTCCTTCACGTACCTGATCCTCTCGGACCCGCTGGTCCCCACTACCAGCAGGCTCGGGCCCTGCCGCAGGCTCATGTACTACACGCAGCAGCGAGGGGTGGAGGAGAAGGACTACAGCAAGCTCGTGGGCGTCTGGCCGTCTGGCCTGCTCGGGCATCACGCTGTGCTGCTGGTGCTCGATGGGGAGGGAGCTTGCAGTGACCTCAGCAGCACTCACTTCTGCAGCCTCCAAGTTGAGCTGTACGACGACAAGGAGGAGATCGTCGAAGTCCACCATGTCGACGTGCTGCCCACCATGTTTGCTCCCGCCACTCGCCGCCATGGCTCCTGCTTCCTCCTCCTCAGCAGGGAGCCTCTTGACATCTCCTTCCTCGCGCGAGCGGATCGGCCGCTAGCTGCCGTCCAGCTCACGACCCACCAGCGGTCGGAGGACCCCAACGTGCTGTTCCTGCCCGGGAGGACGAGGAGGCAGTGCTGGGCTGAGCTGGTGGAGAAGATGGTTCAAACCTTCATACTCCCCCTCGTTACTTTCTCCTACCTCGTCTTTGTCGACCTGGGCTCGGTACAGGACGAGCTGCCCCGAGAGCTGCTGGAGTGGTACGAGAAAGTTCTTGTCCATGACCTCCCCGACCTCCCCGACCTTGTCCTTGCATCCTCTGCGCCTGCTGGCACCATCGGCAAGTCCTTCACTTCGACCTCCGGCCTCGTCGCTGTCAGTGAGCGATTCATGGCGTTGCTGCTGGACACTTTTGAGAATCCATCATGTAACTGACTCCTTCTCATCCTACTCCTCCTCTTCTCCTCCTCTCCTTTCTACTCTTCTTCTCCTTTCCTCTCCTTTCCTCTCCTTTCCTCTCCTTTCCTCCTCTTTCTACTCCTCCTCTTCTCCTCTCACTTCACTTCTACTTGTCCTCTTCTCCTACCTCCTCCTTGGTTTTCTCATGCCTCTCTCCTGCTCCTCCTGCTTCTCTGTCTTCCACCTCTTCCCCCTTCTTCACATGTCCTCCTGCATCCTGCTCTTGCTCCTACTCCTGCTCCTACTCCTGCTCCTGCTCCTGCTCCTCCTGCTCCTGCTTCACCACCACCACCTCCTCCTCCTTCACCTCCTGCTCCTGCTCCTCCTGCTCCTGTTCCTGCTCCTGCTCCTACTACTACTACTGCTTCCCCCCGGTCAGCTTTTCCTCCCACTAGCTCTCTCTCTCTCTCTTTCTCTCTCTCTTCCCCTCCTGCTCTTCTTGTGATCTTCACCTTTCCAGCGTCTCCATGGGGCATTCAGATCGCCGTCGACGTCGCCCAATGTACGCCCCCTTCCTCTCTTATCCTAGTATCTGACTAGAAACATTCCGTCCCCCCCCCCTCCCT